CAGCCTTCAATCGCTCGTTTTGTTCGCTCTGTTTGGCGAGTCGTTCCTTGTCTTCCAGTGTGAGCGCAGATGCGGTGCTATTATTAGCGCCGCTGAGAACAGGACTAAAACTGTTGGCACTGTTTGTTAGTTGCGATAAGTTGTCAAAAGTGGGAGACTTTTGTTGTGTGCTATTGAATAGTGACTGTTGTTGCGATTTGATTGAATTCAATTGCTCTAACTTTACTTGTTGTTCGTCCTCTATCTTACATAACATCTCCCGCACTAATGACATAATCGTTTGAAACTAACATTCAAATTACAAAACAAAACAATTTCATGTTATTTATGCCTTTAATGTGTTTTATGGCTCACCTGTTGTAATGTTAAGCCATTTTCAATGGAAAGCGGCACTAAATGTGGCACAACTTTCGTAGCAATCACTTCTTTAGTGAGACCTAATTTGTTGCTATTCATCGCCAGCTTATAAATGGCTGTCAATTGATTGTAAATATCATTTTAATTAAAACTAAACGCAAACTAAATTCAATTGTTATACCAATGGATGCCATTATAATCGCCGGTTCTTTCGACGGAACGTTGGATAGGATGGGAAGCACTTCGTCGAGAACCAGCCATTTGTCCAAATGCTCTAAAACTTTTCCCAAACATATTAAACAACTCTCTCTCTCTCTCTCTCTCTCTCTCTTATTAAATTGAATTTTATTGTACCGAACAGTAAATACGCTATACTTTGAAGTTTATATATTAGTTTAAATTATTTTTATATTTTAGATGATAAAGTGTTTTAGAAATAAAAGATTTCAAATGTTAATTAAATAATTATTGCTTTTGTTTAAGTGATTTGATATTTGGTCTCACAGTTTATTGGGATTATACGTGCCATCAAACTATAGATAAGTGATATTTATTATTTAAATTTCCAGTGAAAATATCCTGAATATTGCGCTTAAAATGTGAATTTTCATTAAATTAAAAATGTTTGGCGAGAATAATGTAGATCACGATCGCTATTATTGAGTAAATAAATGGGCAAAACCTGCGATTTGTACTCATTTTAATAGTATTCAAAATACAGTATTTACTTTCCTATTTGAATGGTATTTCTCTCTAATCATGTAATCCTCTGCCAATCTAAATGTCAATTATTTAAATCAAGTCTATTTATAACGATTTAATCATGATTTTGTACAAGAAGTGCATCGTTTAATCTGATATAGTATTTGTGCATAAAATAGTTGATAAAACTACACTTGAAATAAATATTAATGTACTTTTACTATTAATATAAAAGTACCATTTTAGTTAATTTTTGACGAGTTTTCACGTGTTTATCACCAAATGTATAAAATATACACAAATTTGTAATATTCTGTGATATTTAATGATTTATATCATTTTTATCGTGTGTTTTCGAAATTTCAAAACTCATCCATTGCTTTATAATTGGAAATAAGTTTGAAAATAGCAATATATTTGTTATTATAAATAATCTCAAACGTCAATAAAAAATGAAATGCTTTGCAAATAAAACATTAATTCAGTATCTATTTTGATACATGAACAACAAGGTTGCACCTGAATCTCCAACACATTACCACCTTTCAAGGGAAAGCAATTTGCAAATATAATTATGTAAATAACAATTCAATAGATTCTTTTTAAATTACCACTTCTCATTGGATCATCGCGGTTCATAATTAAAACATTTCATCGTGTTTAATCACTTCAATTCCAGAATTTTCATGTTATTTACTATGAGGGGAGTTCTCAGTTGTAGGGGTGATCTCACTTGTGTCGCATAAATCATGATTTTCATACCAATGAATTGTGGTTAGAAAATAGATAGAGGTATAAATTAATAAATTAAAGTAGAGTAATATTAAATTGTGCAACTAATTATGCTATCAATAGTATCCAAAAGTCACCACAAAATTGCGTTGACATAAATTGTTTGTTAAATTTATAGCACATTTGTTTTACAGTAATTGATTTGTAAAGATGTAAAGATATACACATAATAAATATATTGCAAACAATTAATGTCTTATCATTGATGACACTATTTGTTAGCATTGCATCCAATGATGGCCTTCGATGTCACGCATAAATTGCAAATTAATTTCTCATTCAATACATAACTCCGATATATGTTTGAGAACACCTTATATTTACTTATTATTAAGTTATGACATATTTGTTAAAATTGTTATTTACTGTTAAAATTGTTTATCGATTAGTCAATAGAGAAATTTTTCTGTATCAAAAACAGTAGAAATTTATTTAAATATTTACATTTCATATATAATCTAAATATAAATTAATTTTTTAGCGTTCAATGATTGACTGAAACACTTATATTGGACTCATCATCAAAACTCTGTCAAATACCAGACAATTAATACATTATATAAAATTACATTTCAATATTCTGTGCAAACATACAGTAGAATATAGACTATTTGATATAATATAGTATATTTTAACCATAACCATAGTCAATTCATTTGCATTTTTGCATAATACCTATAATTAAGGTTCATCGTTTCCCTCCCATATCTTATATCTTCTCGGAAAATAAGGAATCTTCCTTACTTCCCTTATCTTCCTCAAAAATGGGAAAATAAGACATAAATTGTGGTAAATTGACGATAAATCGAGATATATGTATAACTTTTATTAGCCTAAAAGAATTATATAAAATTACATTTCAATATTCTGTTCAAACATACAGTAGAATATAGACTATTTGATATAATATAGTATATTTTAACCATAACCATAGTCAATTCATTTGCATTTTTGCATAATACCTATAATAAATAATAAAAATATTTTAATAACTTAATAATATGCCATAAATTAATTAAATGATTGAATAAATATTTTTAAAATAAATAATTATGTCATTACAAATTATAATTATTATAATTAATTAACGGATAAAAAGGGAAAATAGTGGCATGCATACATTTGTGTAAATTTTAGGTCTAAAACTCATCAATATGAAAAATATGATAATTTAATTTTTAAAATGTGTTATAAATTTAACCCCATTTCCAATCAATTATATAATAATTACAATCAAATTACAAATACAAATATTTTTAAAACATTTCTTTCAAAAACTTATCAAAAACTTTTGACATCAAAAAGTTTTGACACAAAAAAGAGTGCAAAACGTTATTTATGTGCAAAAATGTATTGCATTTCTAAGTTGTAAACAATATATAGACTGAAAGCGGAGGTCGAGTGCAGAGCATATGTGCAGACAATCCATACAATCAGTGATCCGTTGAGACACCGATCGCGAGGACACGTCCGCAACAACTCGTCCGCCAAAACACACGTCCAATCAGTGGCACAACCGGTGATATCGTCAGCTGATCCGTCGCTGCGGTCACCACACGAGCGATGGAGTCCGTACTGAACCGCATCCGAGACACTGTCTCATCGACGGTAATACAGGTGACGTCCAACTTGTCGACAGCGCTTCCGGGCAATCCTCTCACCCGCGAGTACGACCTGAGCCGACACGTGGCCTCTGCCGGACCTCATCTCTGTCTGAAGGTCTTCGACGCCGTGAAGAAGAGTACGCGCGAAGAGTCGGCTCTATTCCTCTGCGACAAGAAGTCGTTGGACCAGAAGTTTAATAAAAAGGATAAAGAGATGGTTTTGGAGATCATCCGCAAAGGTGTCAACCAATTGACTCGCTTAAGACATCCATCGCTGCTAACCATTCATCATAACATAGAGGAGAGTCGCGACTCAATAGCGTTCGCCACCGAACCGGTCAGACATTGTTTCCACACATATGTTGTCTTTGTGTCTGTTATATGTATTTAATGGTTATGTTATGACCACTTCAGGTGACGGCGAGTCTGGCCAACCTTCTGGGCCAACGCGACAACACACCGATCAGCACAGATCCCGAACTCTTTGACTTCTTCGACGTGGAGATCAAATACGGTTTACTGAAGATCTCTGAAGGTCTGGCCTTTCTTCACAACGACGTGAAACTATTGCACCGAAACCTAAGCCCGGAGTCGATTGTCGTCAACCGGAACGGCGTGTGGAAGATATCGGGCTTTGATTTCTGCGCGCAGGCCATCAGCGCCACCGAAAGTCCGCTCAAATTCCCGCATTTGAATGCATCAAACTATGCGGACATTCCGGCCATATGTCAGCCAAACCCCGATTATATGGCACCGGAATATATGGACAGAGATGTGACGAGTGTGGAGACCAGTGCCGACATGTTTTCCTTAGGCTTACTTACGTTCACGTGTTATAATAAGGGAAAACCACTGCTCCCGAGCGCTGGGAATCTCAAGTTACGAAGTGTTGAGCAATTTAAACGACTGCCGGACTCGACCTTCAATTGCATTCCTGAAGATTCCAGAAGTCATATCAAATTGTTGTTAAGTCTGGACTCGAGACTACGTCCCGATGCCATCCAGTTTTCAAAATTGCATTTCTTTGACGATATTTTGGTTAAAACTTTGCAATATTTGGACGCTTTATACCAATGGGATAACCTTCAGAAGAGTCAGTTCTATAAAGGTTGGACACATCATACGGTCTCATCATGAATGTATTGATATCTAATGAATGCATTTGTTGTATAAAACCATAGGATTGCCGGAACTGTTGTCTCAAATGCCTAAACGAGTTAAACTGAATCGCGTTGTGTCGAGTTTGGCCAAAGAGTACGTGAATCCAGATATGATTCCTTTCGTTTTGCCAAACATTCTGCTCATCGCTAAAGAGACGGACGACGAGGAGTTCCAGAAGTGGATTAACAAACTATGCGGACATTCCGGCCATATGTCAGCCAAACCCCGATTATATGGCACCGGAATATATGGACAGAGATGTGACGAGTGTGGAGACCAGTGCCGACATGTTTTCCTTAGGCTTACTTACGTTTACGTGTTATAATAAGGGCAAACCACTGCTCCCGAGCGCCGGGAATCTCAAGTTACGAAGTGTTGAGCAATTCAAACGACTGCCCGACTCGACCTTCAATTGCATTCCCGAAGATTCCAGAAGTCATATCAAATTGTTGTTAAGTCTGGACTCGAGACTACGTCCCGATGCGATCCAGTTTTCAAAATTGCATTTCTTTGATGATATTTTGGTGAAGACTTTGCAATATTTGGACGCTTTATACCAATGGGATAACCTTCAGAAGAGTCAGTTCTATAAAGGTTGGACACATATGATCTCTCAATGAATGTATTGATATCTAATGAATGCATTTGTTGTATAAAACTATAGGATTGCCGGAACTGTTGTCTCAAATGCCTAAACGAGTCAAACTGAATCGCGTTGTGTCGAGTTTGGCCAAAGAGTACGTGAATCCAGATATGATTCCTTTCGTTTTGCCAAACATTCTGCTCATCGCTAAAGAGACGGACGACGAGGAGTTCCAGAAGTGGATTATTCNAAACTGAATCGCGTTGTGTCGAGTTTGGCCAAAGAGTACGTGAATCCAGATATGATTCCTTTCGTTTTGCCAAACATTCTGCTCATCGCTAAAGAGACGGACGACGAGGAGTTCCAGAAGTGGATTATTCCCGACTTAGTCACTGTGTTCAAGCATAAGGAGCCCATTCAGATCGGCATCATTTTGATGCAAAACATGGACTTTTTGGTCTCCAAATTCAAGACTAAACCCGATTCCCTTCGCGAACACATTCTTCCCCTTATATACCGTTCGCTCGATTCGGACGCTCAACAGATACAAGAGCTGTGTTTATCGGTTATACCATCGATGGCTCATCTCATTGACTACACAGCGATGAAGAACTCATTGTTACCCAGACTTAAGACTATTATTTTAAATACTAAACTATTATCGGTTCGCGTAAACACAAATTATACAAACCCTTTTCAAAATCTCGTAAACCTGTTTACCGACCAAGAGCTGCTTCACGAAGGGTAGGATAGGTTGCAAGGCAGCTTTCTTGGCCGCTAATATTACCGTAGGTAACCATATTAAATTGAGTTTAATTTGCGTTTAGTTTTAATTAAAATGATATTTACAATCAATTGACAGCCATTTATAAGCTGGCGATGAATAGCAACAAATTAGGTCTCACTAAAGAAGTGATCGCTACGAAAGTTGTGCCGCATTTAGTGCCGCTTTCCATTGAAAATGGCTTAACATTACAACAGGTGAGCCATAAAACACATGAAAGGCATAGAGATATTGTCATAACTAACATGAAATTGTTTTTGTTGTTTTGCAATTTGAATGTTAGTTTCAAACGATTATGTCATTAGTGCGGGAGATGTTATGTAAGATAGAAGACGAACAACAAGTAAAGTTAGAGCAATTGAATTCAATCAAATCGCAACAACAGTCACTATTCAATAGCACACAACAAAAGTCTCCCACTTTTGACAACTTATCGCAACTGACAAACAGTGCCAACAGTTTTAGTCCTGTTCTCAGCGGCGCTAATAATAGCACCGCATCTGCGCTCACACTGGAAGACAAGGAACGACTCGCCAAACAGAGCGAACAAAACGAGCGATTGAAGGCTG